CTGTTCCCAAGACAAAATAAACATTTATTGTATCATTTTACTGCAAGAAATGCATAATTCTGCAGGAGTTAATATTATATTATGCTACATGTGAGAGGTTATAGGTTTACAGTCAGTGTCCATATTTCAGTTAATATTCAATTTAACCCATATGAATTTAAATGAGGAATATTCGGTTTATTAATGGATACAGGGCTACTCGTGAGCGGGATATCAAAGGTGCATGTAAACAGTTTATCCCAAATAAGACTTTAAGCGAGATATGAGCTGCTATCCGGAATACTGTGCGCATGTAAACGTGGTCATTGATTAGGGTCTGGTTTCAATTATGGACTCTTTTGGCATAGAGGAACTACGTCACTGCCTATGTCGATAAGATAAAATGTTTTATTCCAGGTACTCTCCCAACAAATAACAAGGCAGACATGCCAGAACGTCGCGATTCAAAACCGAAGTTTGCAGGCAAAACATTTGCAGTGGTTTTACTTAAGTTAGTTGATGCAAACTAGCTACTTGCGAAATGCACTCATTAAAAATAACCTTTGTGGTCTCCATCTTCCTAGATACTGTTTAGTATTTTATTCAAGCAATAAAGTAGTGATGTAGGCAGTGACGTAGTTCCTCTATGCCAGCAAAGTCCATCATTGAAACCAGAGCCTAGTCACTGTGTTGCCTAGGATCTGGTTTTCGACACTAGCCTTTAAGAATCATGCTGCAGAGATAAGTAGGCTACATGGGTAAACGTAAGTAACCAAGGGAAACCCAGCTCCTCTGGATCCCTGCTGATCCATTAGAGAGCATCACATTCAACATTCAGGTTCTACTAGCAGATGTTACCAATGGCCCATTGTCTGCCACACACCCTGCAGAGCCCCACACAAAGCCATGCATAAAAATCACTAACCCACATTCATCATCATCACTCGGTTTGGTTTTTATATGGCCATGTGGTTTGACTTCTGTCATATTTAGGCCTACCACAAATGCAGAGTTTCTCTTTGTTCAGCATTAATACACATACTGGGGATATTGATTCAAATTCAACTGTTCCTGTCATATTCTCCCATCGATTATCATCAAAGCCTCGTGGTAGCAATAGATTCATGGTATATGTCTACTCATGTTTCAGGAGCAAAATAAAATATTTGTCATTTGTTTCCTCATAACAGCATTCTTCCTGACGATAAATAAGATGGGTATACACATGATAATATACACTAAGAACACAGTTAGGCTATTTACTTATTCATTCTCGACATCTTAATATTTTTTACGGGTTTCATCCATGTTTCGGCCGATCCTAAAGGGGAGGAAAGTATAAGTAATAATAATATGCCATTTAGCAGACGCTTTTATCCAAAGCGATTTACAGTCATGTGCGCATACATTTTTACGTATGGGTGGTCCCGGGGATCGAACACACTACCCTGGCGTTACAAGCGCCATGCTCTACCAATTGAGCTACAGAGGACCGTCATAAGTGGTCCATCTGTCTGAAATTGCTGAGTTGGGATGGCATGCAAGTCAGGCAGACGGGCAGGGAGGGGCAGTCAGGACAATCTGATGCGGCTGTCTCTTTCAAACACAGCCCCCATCTCCTCCTTAATCCCTTTGCCCTCAGTCCAATATTATTGAAATGATGTGTGCGCGTGTGTGTATGTGTGTGTGTGTGTGTGTGTGTCAATAGGAATTCCGGACACAGGGAGAAGGAAGACAGCTGAGGGGCCATGTGTTTGCTGGTAACTAACCACAGTGACACATCACTGGTCACATGATCCACTGCAGAGGAGTGATGTCACTGCAGCAAAATCTTGAACAAAGAGGGGCGGAGGCCGGCTGCCTGGCAGACTAGGGGGGAAGCGGGGGTTAGAAGGAGGAGGTTGGTGCAGCCAAATCCAAACTCTGTTGTAATACATTAATGAACTCTGGCCCTTCTAAATGTCTGGCCCTTAACATTTCTGTCAAGCATCTATACAACTTCTCATATTTTCCATTTTTATTTTTTCGATAGAATTCTATTTTGTGACCCTTTTTGCATTTTAAATATGCATATGTGAAATTGTCATGAATGAAAAAGCAGTCTTTTGTGAAATTTTATACTGGTTTGCATCCTCTCCATCTCAATGAATTGACTATGTGTTTGAATGACATCTAATGACAGAGGCAATATATAGGTCTAATGTGGTGCTAGAAAGCGTACTCTGCATTTTAGCACAGGGCTGTATTGTTGGCACAGAATTTAGTTCAGCACCCAAAGCTCAAGGAGATTTGGGACTAAATATTTAATTGACTTACAAAATAGAGTGCATGTGGCACATGCGGTGTGTGTGTGTGTGTTTTGAAGGGGGTAGATTTGATCATTCAGCACCAGTTTTTTACATGTGATTTATCTCATCTAGGCCTATGTGCAGCGTCATCCAGCATAAGGCCCTCTATAAAGGGTGTGTCCATTACTGCGATTTAGACCTCTGTAATGGCTTGAGAGACTACAGAACATAATGTTTTTCCTCGTCACAAAAATAATCATATTCACATAATTAAATAATTGATCAACGCCAATTCACTTTATCTCACCTTCATTGAGCTATATTCGATCTACAATACATAGGCCTGTTTCATTTCGACTTCAAAATTATAGTAATATAGTAATACAACTAAAAACAACGTAATTATATGCAAACATGCTTTGTATTTTGTCTGCGAGTCTGGAGTGGACTGTGCCTGTGTGTCGCTGCCTGGTTCATTCAATGATAAAGCACCTCCCTCCTCCTCCTCCTCCGCCTCCGCCTCCTCCCGCAGTGGCCGGCCCCCTCTCTGCTGCTTTCTAGAAGAGAAGAGTGCACTCACTCACTGATAATCTTTTCGGCGCCTCTATCATCTCTTTCCTCATAAAGGAATCAAAATGGTGAGCCGTTAATTTCATTATAAAAAAATACTTGTATATTATTATTATTTTTATCACAATTGTGTATAACAATGGTCAGATGTTCCATAATGAGACTGTGGTTACATTTGCAATGAAATATTCGAAATGTTGATTATGGGCGGCTATAAATAATTCATAGGTATTGTAGGTGGTGAATGTTCTAGCATTCTTACAAGACACGCGCGTTTAGTAGTAGAGAGTTGGATATTTTCCTGAGTTGCTGATGTTGTGTTTTGTTGAAAGATGGTTTTTAGGTTTCAAACCCACGTGTTTTATAGGAACATCCTAAATGAATCGAAAGGCATCTGTAATAAACTGCTCTGCCACACAAAGCAAGCCACTCCCTAAGGAAATTTGGAAAGGGTGTGAATTCAGTCATACAAAAGCCAAAAGCATTTGTTGGCCAAATCCAAACAGGTTATTTAGGCCTATGTGAAGGGATACAGTTGCAATATAATTATAATAGGCTACTGTAATGTGTAATGTATCAGATAAATAGCCTATTATAGAACAATTCTAAAATGTAAGGTAAATTAATGTAAGGTAAATATGTATTATTATTATTATTTATTTTTTTTTCTTCACCTTTATTTAACCAGGTAAGCCAGTTGAGAACAAGTTCTCATTTACAACTGCGACCTGGCCAAGATAAAGCAAAGCAGTGCGATAAAAACAACAACAACATAGAGTTACATATGGAATAAACAAAATGTACAGTCAATAACACAATAGAAAATCTATATACAGTGTGTGCAAATGTAGTAAGTTATGGAGGTAAGGCAATAAATAGGCCATAGTGCAAAATAATTACTATTAACACTGGAGTGATAGATGTGCAGAAGATGATGTGCAAATATAGATACTGGGGTGCAAATGAGCAAAATAAATAACAATGTAAATAACAATATGGGGATGAGGTAGTTGGGTGGGCTAATTTCAGATGGGCTGTGTACAGGTGCAGTGATCGGTAAGCTGCTCTGACAACTGATCCTTAAAGTTAGTGAGGGAGATAAGTGTCTCCAGCTTCAGAATTTTTTGCAGTTCGTTCCAGTCATTTGCAGCAGAGAACTGGAAGGAATGGCGGCCAAAGGAGGTGTTGGCTTTGGGGATGACCAGTGAGATATACCTGCTGGAACGCATACTACGGGTGGGTGTTGCTATGGTGACCAATGATCTAAGATAAGGCGGGGATTTGCCTAGCAGTGATTTATAGATGACCTGGAGCCAGTGGGTTTGGGGACGAATATGTAGTGAGGGCCAGCCAACGAGAGCGTACAGGTCACAATGGTGGGTAGTATATGGGGCTTTGGTGACAAAACGAATGGCACTGTGATAGACTACATCCAATTTGCTGAGTAGAGTGTTGGAAGCTATTTTGTAAATGACATCGCCGAAGTCAAGGATCGGTAGGATAGTCAGTTTTACGAGGGCATGTTTAGCAGCATGAGTGAAGGAGGCTTTGTTGCGAAATAGGAAGCCGATTCTAGATTTAACTTTGGATTGGAGATGCTTAATGTGAGTCTGGAAGGAGAGTTTACGGTCTAACCAGTGTAGAATATTTGTTTCACTTACTTTAATTATTCCATTTGGACTCAGTGAGGTAAGCTAACATCTGCCACACCATTTTAGCACACTATACATGTATTTTTAGTCTCTGCATGTTTTTGTCTTTGCAGAATGGCACCAAATCTGACTTGGCATTTCAAAAAATTATTTTTTGAATGATATCAGCATGGCCCTAGGTGCTAGTCTATTATATTAAGAGTGACTGTGTAGAACACATTCTGACTTCAAGGGCCAGTTTCCTGGACTCAGATTAAGCCTAGTCCTGGATTACTAAACGTGGTCAATGGAGAATCTCCATTGAAATACCTTTTTAGTCCAGGACTAAAATGAATCTCTGTCTGGGAAATCGGCCCAAAATAACACATTCAGACTTCAAAGGTCTCATTATGACTGGTTGTGATTTCCTATCAATTTATTTGGAAATTAATTAGAAAGTGGCCTTTTCTTTAAGGACACTTGTCCAATTACATTATTTTTTTAAAATTAATTATATACTTATTTATTTTTTCAACCAGCGTGAGTGTATCTCAGTTCATGTAGGTCAGGCTGGAGTCCAGATGGGCAATGCATGCTGGGAACTCTACTGTATGGAGCACGGGATCCAGCCAGACGGACAGATGCCCAGTGACAAGACCATCGGAGGAGGAGACGACTCCTTCAACACCTTCTTCAGTGAGACTGGAGCTGGCAAGCACGTCCCCAGGGCTGTGTTTGTGGATCTGGAGCCCACTGTCATTGGTACGATCACTTTTGTCTTGAAACAATGATGATGACACTGTGCTATCTCAGTCTGGACTTCTTCAGCTAACAGGTCTTTCTTTGTTCTAGATGAGGTGCGCACAGGAACTTACCGCCAGCTCTTCCACCCTGAGCAGCTGATCACTGGGAAGGAGGATGCAGCCAACAACTACGCCCGTGGGCATTACACCATAGGCAAAGAGATCATTGACATGGTTCTGGACAGGATTCGCAAACTGGTGAGAACTTACATTTATATGATGTCTTATTGTACATCCTGTGTATTTATTGTTGTTATCCAACCATAATGATCTGAAACATCTTCTCACCTCCCTCTCCACAGGCTGACCAATGCACTGGCCTCCAGGGCTTCCTGGTCTTCCACAGCTTTGGAGGAGGCACTGGTTCTGGTTTCACCTCCCTGTTGATGGAACGCCTCTCTGTTGACTACGGAAAGAAGTCCAAGCTTGAGTTCTCCATCTATCCAGCTCCTCAGGTGTCCACAGCTGTTGTTGAGCCCTACAACGCCATCCTGACCACCCACACCACCCTGGAGCACTCTGATTGTGCTTTCATGGTAGACAATGAGGCTATCTATGACATCTGCCGTAGGAACCTTGATATTGAGCGCCCTTCCTACACCAATCTTAACAGGTTGATTGGCCAGATTGTGTCCTCCATCACTGCTTCCCTCCGATTCGATGGTGCCCTCAATGTTGATCTGACAGAGTTCCAGACCAACTTGGTGCCCTACCCCCGTATCCACTTCCCCCTGGCCACCTATGCCCCAGTGATCTCGGCAGAGAGGGCTTACCATGAGCAGCTCTCAGTGTCTGAGATCACAAATGCTTGCTTTGAGCCAGCAAATCAGATGGTGAAATGTGACCCACGTCACGGCAAGTACATGGCCTGCTGTCTGCTGTACCGTGGCGACGTTGTGCCCAAAGATGTCAATGCTGCCATTGCCACCATCAAAACAAAACGTTCCATCCAGTTTGTAGACTGGTGCCCAACTGGTTTCAAGGTTGGCATCAACTACCAGCCCCCAACTGTGGTACCTGGTGGAGATCTGGCCAAGGTCCAGAGGGCAGTGTGCATGCTTAGCAACACCACTGCTATTGCAGAGGCCTGGGCCCGACTTGACCACAAGTTTGATCTGATGTACGCCAAGCGTGCCTTTGTGCACTGGTATGTAGGTGAGGGTATGGAGGAGGGAGAGTTCTCTGAGGCCAGGGAGGACATGGCTGCCCTGGAGAAAGATTATGAGGAGGTAGGGGTCGACTCCATTGAGGGAGAGGGAGAAGAGGAGGGAGAGGAGTATTAAATATTTCTTCATTCCTATGCCAAATTCACACATTCCTAGGTGACCCAGAGCTGAGAATGACAGAATTATTTTTCCTTATGATTGTGCCTTGAACAACCAGTATCATGAAGTAGCAGGATGGTAAGGTGTAGCCCACAAATCTTTTAAAATGTGCTCACTCACAAAAGCTGATGTCATTGCTTCATCTGTGCGTTTGTGGCGAGAGCCCAATAAAATCAATAAAGGTTATTCTCTTTCTCTGTTATTACATCCTGTAACAATGTTATAAATCTCATCCAGATAAGTGACCACTGAGCACTGAGTAAATTGCTATCAGTAGGTTTATATACCCAAGTAAAATACTTACTTTGCTAACATTACCTTTATCTAGACTAATCATGTCTGTCTCTGTAATGTCCAATGACTTATTTTGCTTGCAGTATGTGGCATACTGCTGAGTCATTTGAAATGTTATATTCTCTTTAGCAGGAAATGTGACAAATTGTTATCCTTAGCAGTTTTCTAATCTAGTTGGACTGGTGCAAGGCTTTATAAACAATATCTATGAGGAGATTCATAATCAAAAACTCTGGCTCCCTCCTGTGGTTTGGCATGGTTCTAGTGTCTGCTGTTTCATGAGTAGGCCTACACTGTAACAGAAATACTCAACTGACAGATCACTGTATTTTTTTTTGGCGTATATTTCAAAAACAGTGATGCTACCCGTTTTTCCATGCCTTATGCAATCTAGCATTTTTAGGGCAAGGCCTATTCATTCTATGACCATACATGGAGATCATGATAGTCGTTTTTTTAAGCAGGTGTAGCACATTACAACATGTTACATTTGCATTTCTAATAGAAATATCATGCCTTCTGCTACTTTTCTTCATTAATCTGTGCAATAGCCCACTTTAATGACTCAGCAAAGTGGGTGGCTGGTGTGTGTGTGTGTGTGTGTGTGTGTGTGTGTGTATGTGTGTGCGTGTCTGTGCGTGTGTGATGTTGCCATCAAAGTTGTAATCTTATGTGTCAACTGTAGCTATTGCACTAAATGTTTGAGGTATTATACATCTTTCAATATAGAGGAAAAAACCTATAGGCTACAACCTACTCCAGTTTTCCATGACATAACAGGTTACATTTTCTTATAGCCTACCAAACCAATAGGCTAATATTAGAAGTGCCTAAAATAGCCTAGGCCTATATTCATTCTTTCTTTTCCCCAAAGTCTTGAGTCTTACATAAGCACCTACCCCAAGTGTCTTGTTTCAAAGAAGCTAGGGGAAAGTAAGTGCTTCCTTGAGACCAGTAAAATGACAGCGGTGTCCTCCAAATTACAGGCTACAAAGTCACCATAGAAAGATTCTCAGCTGCAGAATTACTTGGGCTATAGCCTATTAATCCATTAGCAAAAGCAGTTCCACAAAATATCTAAATATTTATGATTAAATGTAAAGCAAAAACATATAGGGTAAATACATCTAAGGATGACAGAAAAAGATGGTGGCTATTGTCTTAAGTTAAGGTTACTTTGTTGTCGTTTTCAGTTATCTTACATAAAACATAGTTTTAGAATCTCGCTCTTGACTGTATGACAGTAGCCTACTTTTGTCATGCTGTGGGAATGTGCTTATGCTAACTGCCTTGAATTTTTGTTGTAACCTACATTCATAACCTAACGGTTTCCTTCTTTCATGTCATTGGCATCCATGTACGCCTACATGTTCAAATGGTCCAATAGAACGATCAAGAACGCCTCTTTTTTCCAGGTGGGTGGTAAATTTGTGTCCAAAGGCCGCCCAAATGTGGCGGACCGTCATAAGCAGTATAAAAAGCCCCACCCTGACACATTCCTGAAACTTCTCACATTAGACTCCTTAAGGTCCCTCTGTGAGAGTTGGTCGTAAATCTACGGTTTCTTATTTTATCTTTACTGCTCTTTTAAAACACCTCATCTTAGACATGGTAAGTTTGAATATGAAAATGACTGGAATTGTGATGTACTTTATATGTGGAGTCATGATCTCGTAATATAATTAGGTTATGAATTACCAATCAAACATGACACCTTGAAACTTGCCTATATCTTCTAATGTCTAAGAAGCCGTTATTTTGTATGATTATGTTTGGGGGGGAAATTTTGAAAAAATTCACACAGTGAAAGACAATCATCAGACATGATCCGATTTGACACATATAGCCAACATGAAAATGCCAATAATATTATTTTATTTGTGTTAGCCTACAAAAGTGATCCTTTTAACATATGTAGATAGAGTCTTCGTTAATTTATAGTAGTGCGCCACAGCTTCAGAGGCCTTCTATTCCTTATGTAGGGCGGCGCTTATTCTTCCTACTCCTCTCCTCTCGCTCGATGACCATAGCTTGCTTTGTTACATTGTTGCATTGCGGAAAGTGGCACGCGGTCAACTTGAGCAGGGCGGTTTCATTGTGGCAATGCCGTCATGGTCAAATCATAGCTGTAGTCTAGGCTACAGTGTAAAATCGGAAATCATCTGTCACACAATCAAGATGATTTAATCATGTGATTTACACAATCGCGCATTTTATAGGCTAACGCCGGTGAAAGTTCAAGGGATGGGAAATGTTATGAGCAGTAGGAATTTAATCGAATGCCTGGGCGGGCAGGTGTCTGAACATTTTTGTCCAAAACCTGAATAAACTGGGAAAGTCAAACCCCGTGGTATTTTCCCATGTTGTGTAGGGAAAGGAAAGTACGGGTTGCTGTAGCCTATTTTATGATTCTTAACCGATTATAGGCCTGTAGTAAACCCCCTATAGTTCAGAGACCTGTATTACACATTTTATTTTGGAAGACGACATTTCGTTTTGTTGGAAAGGGCAGGACACAATGAAATGGCATATTTGCCTCAATCTGAATCTCCATTTGCGGCTTTTTTGATATTTCAAAAAAAATTATGCCGGCGGAAAATAACTCACCCTTCAAATTAGTGTTACAATTGTGCCATATCAGGGATTTTATACTGCTACCTATACATCGCTAATCTTTGACATGATGACTTTCAGACTACAGCTATAATCATTCCCATTGTCAAGAGCACCGAATGGTGACCGCATGTTAAAAACATGACTTGCAGAGCAAGGACTGTGCCATAGCCTGTAACACAGATATACATTTACATTTTAGTCATTTAGCAGACGCTCTTATCCAGAGCGACTTACAGGAGCAATTAGGGTTAAGTGCCTTGCTTAAGGGCACATCGACAGATTTTTCACCTAGTCGGCTCGGGGATTAGAACCAGCGACCTTTCGGTTACTGGCACAACGCTCTTACCCACTAAGCTACCTGCCAGATATAACACGTAAACCATGAGTAAATTCTTCCTCATTGTATGATTAGGCCAAATGTATATATTTAAATCCATTATTACAAAATGTGTCAGGTAGTAGCCTATGTTATACACTAATAATAAACTCGTTTTAATAATGGTCTGGAAGTGTCTCCTTAAATTTCAGTCTAAATCTTGATTCAATTCAGAAGACCTGTTATCCCTCAAGGCTAAACCCTTCAATGATTCAGGGCCATGAGTAGGCTACTTTACTCCAACACCTGTTGCCTGCAGGTCATGTTCTTGCTCTGTGGCACCAACACAGAGCATGTCTTTATCCCTCATAGCTGCATATAATCACTGAGTCAGGTGACCTGGGTATGCTGGTATTAGAGCCAAAGCTATGCGTAACTTGAAAACATACAGATACACATAGGCCCACACAGTCAAAATGGCTCCCGCATGACAAGGCTTTTCTCTTTTTAATAACTGAAACTCTTCTGTAGGAAAGACTCCCAATGTCTGAGCAACTCAATTTGACATGATTGTACTTTCGCCCACAGCGTGAGTGTATCTCCGTCCATGTGGGCCAGGCTGGCGTCCAGATCGGCAATGCATGCTGGGAGCTGTACTGTCTTGAGCATGGGATCCAGCCCGATGGAAAGATGCCCAGTGACAAGACCATTGGAGGAGGAGATGACTCCTTCAACACCTTCTTCAGTGAGACTGGAGCTGGCAAGCACGTCCCCAGGGCTGTGTTTGTGGATCTGGAGCCCACTGTCATTGGTAAGATCAATTTGTCTTGAAACAATGACCTTCTGTTAACATTGGTCTATCTCAGCAGTCTTAAACCTTTTATAATGGAATTCAGAATTCTTAAACCTTTTCTTGCCCAGGGAACCCCACCCAGGCAAACCGGCGACCCAGGGACCCCATCAAATGTTAGCAATTAAAAAAACGTTAACGTCTTGTCATAAGATGAATGATTATGGCAAGGAGAATTTTAAAATGAATAGATTTGGTAGATAGTTTTTTATTATTTTGACCTCCCCACATTATAACTGGAAGAGGAAGTGTAAACTAAACTCTAACAGTCTATTAGCTAGAAAGGTAACTAACATGTCTTTCTTTCTCCAGATGAGGTGCGTTCTGGAACTTACCGCCAGCTCTTCCACCCTGAGCAGCTGATCACTGGGAAGGAGGATGCAGCCAACAACTATGCCCGTGGGCATTACACCATCGGCAAAGAGATCATTGACTTGGTTCTGGACAGGATCCGCAAACTGGTGAGAATCTCCAATGACCTTTTTAGTGGTCTTATTGTACATGGTACACCTGCATACTTCTTGTCTTCAACAATAGTGACCTAAAATGTAAAACATATTCTCTCCTCCCTCTCTCTCCAGGCTGACCAATGCACTGGCCTCCAGGGCTTCCTGGTCTTCCACAGCTTCGGAGGTGGCACCGGTTCTGGTTTCACCTCCCTGTTGATGGAACGCCTGTCTGTTGACTACGGAAAGAAGTCCAAACTTGAGTTCTCCATCTACCCAGCTCCTCAGGTGTCCACAGCTGTTGTTGAGCCCTACAATGCCATCCTGACCACCCACACCACCCTGGAGCACTCTGATTGTGCTTTCATGGTAGACAATGAGGCCATCTATGACATCTGCCGTAGGAACCTCGATATTGAGCGTCCTTCCTACACCAACCTGAACAGGTTGATCAGTCAGATTGTGTCCTCCATCACTGCTTCCCTCCGATTCGATGGTGCCCTTAATGTTGATCTGACAGAGTTCCAGACCAACTTGGTGCCCTACCCCCGTATCCACTTCCCCCTGGCCACCTATGCCCCTGTGATCTCAGCAGAGAAGGCTTACCATGAGCAGCTGACTGTTTCAGAGATCACAAATGCCTGTTTTGAGCCATGTAATCAGATGGTGAAATGTGACCCACGTCACGGCAAGTACATGGCCTGCTGTCTGCTGTATCGTGGCGACGTTGTGCCCAAAGATGTCAATGCTGCCATTGCCACCATCAAAACAAAACGCTCCATCCAGTTTGTAGACTGGTGTCCAACTGGTTTCAAGGTTGGTATCAACTACCAGCCCCCAACTGTGGTACCTGGTGGAGATCTGGCCAAGGTCCAGAGGGCAGTGTGCATGCTTAGCAACACCACTGCAGTGGCAGAGGCCTGGGCCCGTCTTGACCACAAGTTTGACCTGATGTACGCCAAGCGTGCTTTTGTGCACTGGTATGTAGGTGAGGGTATGGAGGAGGGAGAGTTCTCTGAGGCCAGGGAGGACATGGCTGCCCTGGAGAAAGATTATGAGGAGGTAGGAGCAGATAGCGTGGAGGGAGAGGACGAGGGAGAAGAATACTAAGAAGTATTAGGATCAAGAATTTTCAGCCTGTGAACACATTCAACCATTTTCCTCTAAACATTCCTCATAAAACAATTTTTTTGCTGTCCCTTTTTAACCTTGACTTTTAAATCTTGCTCTCTCCTTTATGCAATAAAAGTTCATTTTAATGTTTGGAAACTTGTTTGTGATTTATTGACCTGCTTACAATAAGTAATGTCTCATAATACAAAATACAGCACTTGCTATGACTACTCTGCTGTGTTGGATATCGTAGCTTGAGGCTGAGCATTGGTGACTGTTTCTTATCTCAAACTATGCAAATATAGTCATTACAATAGGAGAACTGAAAATACTAGTGCATAGAAATGTGGGACAACACTATCAACACAATGAGTCTTATGATCCCCTTCAATAAAACAACTCATTTGTTCTTGATTTAATATTTCTGACATTTGAAGCACTCTGGTTTGATTTAAAGAGGACATTAGTGTATGTCATTGATCATAGTGTGCTTAGGATGATGTACAGTAGCTACCTATCCTCAATTTCTGATGGCAGTATAACTAAGGGGCATTTTGATCTGGCCTTTCGGATGGTATCCACATATCCTTCTATTACAAATAGTGGTACAAGATATTGCACATTACCTAACTATTACTGTAAGTCATTGATGGCAGTATTACCACAGATATCTTTCCATATATCGATTCACAGGGACCTACTGTACCACAGTGGGTCCTTGCAAAGTATGATTTACACTATCAATCTATGTACTATAAAATAATGTTATGATCCAAAGCAATGTCAATGACACATGCAGAGCAGTCCTACAACAGTGATATATGTATGTATTGACTGTGTCATGCACAGGAAGGAATCTTAGCCTTGACATTAATTATTAATGTAAGCTGTAGTAGGCTATTTGCTGAGCTGGTCCTCTGATTTACTGTTGGCAGCATTAACATTACAGACCTCTCTCCCATACTGCAGAGCTATAAAAGAAAAGTGCAGCAGCATATTACATTCATGCCGGTGTCATCAACTCCCTTTGTGAGTGAAGTGAACATGTTTAAAACAAGCTACAACAGCATTTCCTATCCTTTTCCTTTACAGGCTGTAGGTAGCTGAGGCGACACAATGGGGGAGTAAGCCTGAACTCTGAAAACAACGTATTCAGTGGAGAGTAACGGTTGCAGTGTCTACTGTATGCAAATGCTTTTGGAAACCCCTAGAGAATGATTATGTGCGAGTGTTTGAATTGCCTTTTGTGGAGTCTGATTAGATAACCCTATCAGTATATCGTGCATTGAATAGCAGTATGGGCTGATGTTTTTTTCCTGGCCTTTGTTTGGCTCAGCTGTATTGGCAGAGATGAGGACAGAGATGTTGAGCTGCAGTGTGAGATGCCACACAAAGGAGATACAGAATAATAGTTCAATGAAAGGAAAGGGACTAAAGCCCAAACCACCAGGCTATTCACAGCTATCTGAGAAGGTGTACACTGTAGTTCAAGGCCAAGAGGTGACAACTTTGTCATTAGGCAAACCAGTTAGGCTAACTACTCTGGTGGTTATGTCAGGCCAAAATAATCACAGAAGTGACATTTTTGTGCAATAACTTTAATAAACATATTGACATAACATTGTTTTATACTGTTTTAAAATACAATTGTATTAACGATATCATTTACTCATCCTTGTTTACATTCAAACATAGCATAGACACATGACCTCAAATAAACTGGGTTCAGGCCTGTCTTACTTCTCCCCAAGGGCATGGAATTGGACAGCCATAGTAGGGACCAGGGTCATTACTATTGTGTCAACTCCTCTCAAAGGCCTTATGGAGATGATCTTAATTTGCTCAGAGAGGGTCTGAAGTCCCGGTGGTGGTTGTAAATTATTTAACTTGGGGCTCTCTCTCTACTGGCCTCCATTATTGTGATTAGCCATTGAAAGTCTGAGACCACATTATTGTAACATTCCAGACAGCAGCTCCGTGATCATATACGAATATGGAGTCGCCTGTAAATGACAAAATAAAATAACACAATGGGGTCTCCCTATAAGCATGGCATTTTCTTACCAATGGCTTACGATGCTGTTGTAACACATTATTAATACTTTATGAATGATTTTTGATTTTTTTGTTCTAACTTTCAGACTTTCATGAACTTAAAGCTTGACTGTTGAGGTTAGATACGCAGGGGGAGAGTGATGTCAACATACTGAGAGCATGTTGCCTCATATGCCACCATGTGTTTCCCGCCACATTTACACTGTCATTACCTACCTGGTCTGACCTGTGTAGCCGCTGCTGCAGCTGTAGCCGAGTGAACAATTATGCAACATGTCATGGCTGCTGTAATTACGAGCTGCAAGACACACTCATGTCTTTGAAATGGCTGCTGCTTGGTGCATGTCTGCTGGGAGGAAGCACTAATACAGGAAATATGAGGAGGTCTGTACATCAGATGGTGACTGTGTCCTTTCTAGATTTTGGGTGAGATAAGATAGCTGTGGTGTTGGTCTGTACAAGTGTGTGCTTGTGTGTGTGTGCTTTCTTGTGTGTGCTTGTGTGAAGGGAGGCGAGGGGAGGGGATGCAGATAGAGACTCAGGACATAGGAAACCTCATCAGTGGTCATTTGGGAATATTGGTATTTACTGGAGAAAAGGAACCGTGAAAGATTGCTGCTGCAGTGTGTAATCCTCCAATAAGGAAAGACAGAGGCATGGAGGGAGGGAGCAAAAGAGCAAACTCATTTATTATAAGGCAGGTTGATTCGATTGTGGTGCAAGGCCCAACACACAGGATATTAATTTCAGAGAAAGCCAGACATGGCAGCAGCTGGCCAAGTGCTGTACTGCTGTACTCATGCAGCCATACATAAAGAGAAAGAGAGAGAGAGAGAGAGACTTTGATGGATGAAATGTTTTAAATAGATGTAATAATTGGGAGCAAAATTATTGTTGTGATCTTTGGATCTCAAAATGAATTGAAGAGGAATGGGAGGGAGTCAGAGCAAATGACAGAGCAGGAGGGAGAAGGGCAGATCATGAGAGAGAGAGAGAGAGGGGGGGGGGGGGGGGGGGGGGGGGGATGTAAAGAGTGGGAGAACCTCCCACAGTTGACAAGCTCAGCATTGCTTAAAACGGATCAGTAGCATGTCTTTGCAGACATCAACTAAAACAACTGCAGACAAGCACATACACACATGCACACCAGTGGAGGCTGCTGAGGGGAGGACGGCTCATAACAATGGCTGGAATGGAGTCAATGGAATGGTATCAACCACATCAAAGACGTGGTTTCCATGTGGTTGATACCATTCCATTCACTCCATTCCAGCCATTATTATGAGCCGTCCTCCCCTCAGCAGCCTCCACTGATACACACTAACCCACACAACCCAGCACACAGAGCTGGCAACTAATTTGCCTCTGCCGTAGAATACATGTTGGCCTCCTGGAATTTCACAGAGTGTACTTTTCAAAATGTTGCTCTGAGTCTATGCACTGCTGTACAATAACGTTGAGCAACAGCTGAGCACAGGCAGTGTAGTATACCATTTTCAATACAGGAACAACCCACTAAGCGTTTACTGACGGCAACATCCTTTGGACGTCTTTTTTTGGTCCTATCCGGACCGACCGTCTTTTTTTAGTATTAATTTTTTTTGTGCAGTCCGGACCTTGATTTCAATGTCCAAGGACTATGTTTGGTTCAGATTTGCTGCGGTCCGGCTTTTACTTGGCCCAAACATAGACGTCTATGTTTGGTTCAGATTTGGTCAGGTCTGGACCGGCCTTGATTTCAACGTCCATAGACATCCGGTCTGGACCGGCCTATATTTGGCCCAAACATAGACGTCTCTAATTGCTTCAGATTTGGTCCGGTCCAGACCGGCTTTGATTTGGCCCAAACGTAGACGTCTATAATTGGTTTAGATTTGGTCCGGACCAAATCTGAAGCAATCATAGACATCCATGTTTCACAAGTTTGGACAGCACAGTACAGTACAGTTAGGGCTGGGCGATATGGCCAAAATATCATATCATGGTATAAAACATTTTTTGACGGTATGATGGTATTTGACGGTATTTTATGTTTTTGAATAATAAAAGTTCTACATTTCTTTATGAGTAGTGCGTGACCCTACGGTGGCAACACATACTGTACATTCTACGTGATTTATACTGTTCAATTCAACTTCAACCAACATTGTTGCATGTGCTGCATTGACCACGCAGACTAAAGGCAAGTGTCTCGTGGTCAAGCAACAACAAATGCGCTCCCTGAGTGACAGGGGGTGGGGCTAGGTGTGTGTGGAAAGCGGCATGGAGTGAGAGAGCGGAGAGGGATGACTCAAGTAGCGGAGTAAACTATAAAAATGGACGTTACACACGGCATATCACATTTAACGTTCAAATACCGGTATAGAAGGTAAAGTAAAAACCCAAACCAGTCCGTGCATCAATACCGGTATATGGTAAAATACGGTATACCGCCCAACCCTTAGTACGGTAGAGCACAGCAGAGTACAGTACATTACGTAGTACTGTACACAGTACCTTAAAGAAAAGTAGAGTATAGTACAGTACGGTAAAGTACAGTAGAGTACAATATAGTAAATAAAAGTAAAGTTTAGTGTAGTGTATTGTACCCTACTTTACTCTAATGTACTCTACTCTACTCTACTGAACTAAACTAAACTGCACTGCATTGTACTGAAGTCTACTGTACTGAATTAAACTCTACTGTACTGTACTCTTCTCTACTGTACTCTACTATACTGAATAAAACTCTACTATCCTGCACCGTATCATACCATTCCATACTGTACTTTACTCTACTGTGCTGTACTGTACTGTGATGTTCAAAGTTGTGAAACATAGCGTACAGTGAGGGAAAAAAGTATTTGATCCCCTGCTGATTTTGTATGTTTGCCCACTGACAAAGACATGATCAGTCTATAATTTTAATGGTAGGTTTATTTGAACAGTGAGAGACAGAATAACAACAAAGCAATCC